GCCAAAATCAAAATGTGTACACCAACTTTTCAAATTACCATACGGCTGCTCAATGTGGAGTCCAAGAACACTGTGTGGGCACACATCTTCTTTAGACACGGGGCCACTCATCTACCGCGAACAAGCCACTTGGAAGTGTCCTCTTGGTCACTAACCACTTTCCTTTAAATGCGCCCCCTTGGTGGGTGAAGAAAGGCATAAAGGAAGGCTATGATTATGACTAAGAGATGTATTCCTAGTTCCGATGTATTTTTGTATACTGGAAATACTAGGTTTACACACAATTCTCAGCAACATGGAGGCACCTTACTAGAGTTAAATAGTGTCTCTGCAGAACAGGAGATTCTCCAACTGACGGGGGACCCTTTGGATCCTTATTGGTTGATGAAGCTGAAGGAGTGTAGGTTACAACCCTGTTTTTTTAAATTGGTGGTGAGGTATGATGAACAGAAGGAAAATGGAGAAAGCTGTGTCTGAGAGGGGCTGTGATTGAGAAGGAAGATTTCAAAAACTTTCCACTTTCCAGGGGCAATGAATTAGAAAGAAACGCAACGTGAGTCTATCCCTGCTATGCAAAGTGATTGAGCTGTTTCTGGTTTCCATATGGAGCAGGAATTACAGGGGCGGGGACTGGGTGGGCAGGCTCCCAGAGGTGTCTGCTGTCCTCCCCCTCTGCATCTTTGTTTCATTAACAGGTGGTGAGTGCCTCAGGGAAAAGGAAACCTAGAAGCAGGGCATAGCTGGGCCTGGGAAACTGCTTGTGTCTCCCCCATCCACTTCAGGGAGGAGAGAGGCAGACATATTTTCTGTTGTTTTTAGTTCAGAAAAAAAGAAAGACTTTATAACAGACTAACTTGAAACGTATAAAGTGATCTAAAACAGTTAATACAAGTAATTAAATGCTAATTACCTTTAAAAATTAAATAAGTAGGTTGGAACATTTACTTAACCATTTGGTAGACACTAGCTGTTGCAAATGAGTGAAGTAAGGGACTATAGTGTCAAAATTATAAACAATTCCAACAAAAAATAATGAGACAGTCAACCCCGTTGCTGTATTCAACAGTATTTACTGAGCACTTGCTACAGGCTCTCATGGGTTACTTCTGTGTCCTAATTTTAGCCTTAGTTTCAGGCAATGTTTGATTTCTGGGAACTTGTAACATCTTGATATGGAAGCTTTCTATATTTTGTTAGGAAGATTTTTAAATGCTGTTATATTAACTGGTTAGGTTTCTTCATGAAGGCGGTCACAAAGTGGGGCTCCCTTGGTGATTTTCTTTTTGGGGGTGTCTAGGGTCTAACCCAGGGCCTCACACATGCTAGACAAGTGCTGTACACTGAGCTACATCTCTAGCCCCTAATGATTATTTTTTTAACTACAACTATAATATCTTAATCCCTGTAGAATGAGGTTGACATTTCCTTTTTCAGGTACAATCTGCTGCAATAAAGCTTAAGAATTCCTAAAATATTCAATGAACCTGCAAATACACAGTATCACTGTTAGGTGCTTAATACAGGTTACCTCACAAAGTTTCTAGAAGATTCAATGAGAATTTGTGACTCCACTTAAAAGAATGTGCATTGCTGTAATCTATAGTGTGTATTAGTGTATACTACATATGCATATATGAATGCTTCGTGTATCTATACATCGATACAAATGCCACTTCATTATATACCTGAATGAGTCACACTGAATATACAAAGTCACAACTACCTATTTTCTTCAAATTCAGCAGTAGCTTCCATTTAGTGAGTTCTAAGTCCATCAGTATACTTTATAACATTTCATTCAAACCTTACATTAATTAAACTTAAGAGGTGGGTATCCTCTACACAAGGTGAGCTCAAGAAACCTGATGAAGTCCCAGTTAGAACTGAGGTCAGCACTGGTATCTGAATTCAGGCTAACTCTGCAAAGCTGCAAACCATTCTATTTCCTACAATGTTCCAAAGGTGGCTGTTTTCTTTACTTGTATTATAGTAAAGCCTCATTTACACAGTATTATGAAAGATTTAAGAACTATTAAGAAGAATCACAATTTTTTTGACAATTGAATCATCAATGTGAACAGTAATAGTCATGTGTCCTAGTTTTCTCTAAAGTGAGCAAGAGCTATTCCCCCCACACTCACAATCAAATAGGACTTTCCAGTTCTTTTGGGTAGTACTGAGGTTTGAACTCAGGGCCTCCCAACTTGCTAAGAGCAAGCGTTCTACCACTTGAGCGACTTTGGTGTTTTTTGAGATAGGAGCTCATGTGTTAGCCTGGGTGACCTTCTTACCTTTGCCATGTAGGTAGCTGGGATTATAGATATGTACCACCATACCTGGCCCCTGCCTTGCATTGGATCACATTGTTTACCGATCTTTTCCTTTCTGGCACTTTTTTCTGTTCTAGTGTTTGTGGTTTGCTGAGGCCTAATAAACCAAATAACCAAAGGTACCAGAATAGTATCTAGGGTGATGATTCTCAAAGATCAGTGTCCACAGCTCTTCTGGTAAGCTCGCCTAAATGTAGCTTCTTGGGTCCCACTACAGATGTTCTTATGTACTACCTTTGAGGGACTGAGACCCCTGAGTAAAGAACACAGATTTTATGACTGTGTGAGAGAACAAGTTCTAAGGAGAACTCTGAAATTTTCATCTATGGTCTGGATAGTTGAGGTTACTGGAGATGTATCTCTAGGCCTACTAAATATATTTAGTGGTCATGCAGTTTTAATACCTGAACTTTATTTTCTCTCCCTTATCAGATTGACAAAATAGCAAATAGCAATAAAAGAATCTAATTTCAGCAAAAATGGCATTTCCTCTCAAACCTCACTTTAGTTTGTCAGAATTTCATAAAGAGTAGCATGTCTCCAGTCCTTGGGAACATGGGTTTGAATCCTGGCAGTCTGCTGGTTACTCTGAAAAATTAACTTGCCATTCTTAGCCACAGTTTTGGGCTCATCTTTAATATGCAGGTAATAGCATTTACTTCTCAGGACTGGTGGAAACTTAAGAGATAATGTATAACAATTGACTAGTAAGTGCTGAATACTGGGGAATTTAAAATAATGAACTTATTATTACTCATAGGACTTCTAGTTGTAATTATCGTAAAAGTCTTGTGACTCTTTGAGGGAACCAGATTTCAAATTTCATACTTGTATACTCAATGCAATATACAGAGCACAATGGAGTGTTCTCTCTTATAGTTTAAGGAGATAAAAAACAACAAAACTGTGTTTGAAGCACATCAACCTTACTTTAGCTGCATGAAAGTAGCTTGGAATTACTGATTTCTGATACAATATAGGAAATGGAAAGAAACCAACACTTTGTTATTTTAAATATTAGAGACAAACCCTAAATGTTTATAATGAAATAATATTACATTGGTGGAAGAAACAGGCATACTAACATGAAAAAACACATTTTATTGCACTTAAGTTATAAGAAAATAAAATTTCTAAGTGAATCAAACCATAGACACAATCCCTTTAAAGGTTGTTTTCCTCCATCATGTCAGGTTGTTACATAACTAAAATTAACCAACTTGAATCTGATTGTTTTAAATCAGACTATAAATAAAACAAACAAAAAAATAAACAGGAGGAGGAAACAAGACCGCCTAGGATACAGTGTTAAACCACTTTCACAGTTCCGCTGAGTTGTGGCTCCTGGAGAATGAGGCAAACCATCTCACTTTTCACTCATGGCGCTGGTTTGCGTGTGACACCTTCACTTACAGAGACTGAATCGTTCCTTTTTTGTCAGTTACTCAGAGCAATAAAACTGTAACAGTTGTTTTCCCAAATACTGTAAAACGCTAAGACTGACCAGCAACTTTATTTTAATTTTGTGTTTTATATATTTTTAAAATATTTTGTCAGTTTTATTATGTATGTCCATCCATTCACCACAGCCCTCAAAAAGAAAAGTTTCTCCACAGAACAGGCAGAAACAGCTCTGTTCCAAGGAATGTGTTTTAATTTTTGCCCAGATAAAAGAAAATAAGCTTTGCACACACTCTCGAGTCTTTACTTGCAGGCAAACTTCACTCTTTATTATCTGAAACTCTTCCATTCTCAGCCTCTTAGAGGCACAGATGGTTCAAGTTTCAGTGGCAAAAAGTCTTTTTTTTTCTGTAACCAAACTAGAGCAAATTTGGAATTCAGTCTGGGACTAAAACGTCACAGCAGAAAAAAAATAAAAAAAAATAATTTGCTTTTTTCTTTCTTTCATTTAGCAGCATAAATAAGTTTGGCCACTGGGAGTACAGTACAGGGGTGGGACAACAATCCCATATTTGAAGACCTACTTCTAGCACCAGCATCAAGAATTAAATCCATCTCAGTACTCACAGAACCCAGGACAACTTGCCACCTTTGAGCAACATATGCATTGAAGAGTGTATATGGAAGCAACAGTAAATAGATTAACAGAGGCTAATACTGTGATTGATTGACATTGGCAATGGTTGGCAAAAAAAGAAAAAAAAAAAAAGCTTTTCATTTCATGATAACTGTATAAAAACAATTCACAGTAATTTTTTTTTTTAGCTTTTCCACTTCAGAAAAATGACTTTTTGTTGCAGATGCTCTCTAATTAGAAAGTCAACCAGTACTTGTTTTGATATTATTGCAGCTCCTTTCTAGGTGACAGTAACAATGTTTCAGCATTAACACTGCCCAATGACCACTGGAGAAGAAAATAAAGAAATGATTGCACCTGGTTTGATTTAGAAAGTCTCATTTTGCAAAGCTGCCCTCAGTCAAAAGTGAAGCCTTTTACGTGATGAGACAGCAGACGCCTCTCGCGTCAGCTTCGGTTTGTCCTCTTCTTCTTGTCCTTCTTCATCTGTAGGTCTTTTCAATCTGTTGCCCCAAGCCAACATCCTGCACCACTGAGTACAAGGGATTTTTTTTTTCATTTTCTTTTCTTTTTATTCTTTTTTTTTTCTGTTTTTTTTCTTTTTATTTTCTTTCTCTTTTTTTTTTTTTCCTTTTTTTTTTTTTTTTTTTTTGCGCAGGGAGAAGGGCAGGGAGTATATTGTCTACACATTTGGACAAAATTCATCTTTTCTGCTCTTCATTTCATATCCACATCAAAGTCCAGCACCAGCAGCTTGGTTTCTTCAGTCCCATTCCGACTCCCAACAGCACACACCAGTTTTGTGTTTGAGGCTCTGATCCGCCAGACAACTCCCCCACTACCCCCACTCTCCAATGTGACTAGGTTTCGAATAAATTCACCCGTTTTCAAGTCCCATAGTTTTACAGTTCCATCATCTGAGCTGGTAATTACAAAGTTCTTGTTGAACTGTAAACAGGTCACAGCACTCTGATGCTTGTTGGGACCTAGGCAAAACCAAAGGAACATTACTGGTTAGAAATCACGGCTGTAGGTTTGTTAACAATGTAATTTGTAGACTTCTTCATTAGAACATACAATAAATGCAACATTTAAGATGATACATATTTAGAAACCTTGTTCTAAGTATTTTAGGATCAGCATGGATGTAAGAAAATCTGGTAGCTATTTGTAACTGAAACATTAACTTTCAAGAGTTCTATCTTCCAGGAAGCTTGGTTAGCTACTAGGCACATTTTATTTTCTGGCTGTGTAAGCAAAAGCTTTGCCTGGTAATGATGGAGACAGAGCAGCTTCATGTATTCTGCTGATGAACAAATAATCATGACAGACTATTACCCGGTTGCTCTGAATTGACCAAAGGTGAAAGCTGAATAGACAGCATTCCAAAATTCAGAGAAAGCGGTAAAACCGACAAGCAGAAAGCTGCCATGATGCCCACCAGATGGCCACACTGAAAGAACACTTTCTAAGGGCTATAATAAAAAAAGCAAAAAAGTTAATAATGAAGAGCCATGCTGCTGGGCCTCATCTAATATTAATGATTCTTACATAAATTTTTATTTCAGAGGGCACAATTTTCTTTTTGCCACCCCAGTTGAAGCAGGTGGATAGTAGAGGCCATAGCAATTTTCTAACAGACGCTTAAATTCAAAATAAAATGATCACTCAAAAAATAAAATGGATATGCTGCTTCTGTGAGATAGCTAAGATCTTTCTTCTTACTGTTCTTTAATGTTAACTAGAGTCAAGTGCACATGTAGGAACTGACAAACAATTTTATGTTAAAAACACAACTTAAAACAATTTCAGAAGGTAGTTTAGTACAGTAAGTCAAAGTGAAACACTCCTAAACTTACCAAGAGTAAGCATTTTGCATGAGGTTAACTCTATGATGCTATAGCTCTATACAGGCTTCTCTTAAGTAACAAGTGAATTGTAATGGACATAACTAAAGGTGTGCCAATACTTACCTTGCAAAGTTTGTAAACACTGTCCTGTTTTGATATCCCAGATTTTAACTGTAGAATCTGCATTCCCAGAGACAAGAATATTATCTTTGAGTTCCATTCCACTTGTTAACGACTGATGCCCTGTTAACGTGTGAATGCAATTCCCTGTCTCCACATCCCAAACTCGGATTGATGTATCAAGAGATCCACTCACCACATGGATGCCATCAAACTACAACAGACACAATTTATTAGAACAGAAGCATGAGTATGTTTTATATCAGTTATTTATCTAATAGGGAGTGAGGAGAACGTGGCCAACAGGTAAGTCCGGAACAGAGTGTAAAGTGGCAACTAGGGTAATGTGCGTGCTGTCAAGCAACTCTAACGAGCATATTCTCAGACACTTCTTTCAGAAATGACATTTTTATATGCCCAGTAGTTTCAAACTAGAGGCAGAAACAACTTAAAAACAAAACAAAACAATAAAGAACATTATTTTTGGGTCATCTGGTCCCACTTGGTAGCTACAGCCATGGAAGATTCAGTGAGAATTGCCTTCTAAGTTTTACTTCCCCTCAGGAAGCTGAAATTAATGCTTAAGCTTGAGATAAAAGGTGTGTCTATCAGCACCTGAGGCATATTAAAAGGGCCATGCAGATAATTTTCAGTGATGTTCGTAAGTACTTAGATAAAAAACTGTATGGAAAATAAAAGTAATTTACAAGAACTTAATGCTACTTAGGAAATGTATCAAAAGATAAATATATCTAGAACTGTAAGAGGTAGCATTTTGATAACAAATATCCAGCATCTTTTCTCAAGCTTCCTAGTTACACTAAAAGCTAGTGACTATCTCTTTTCTCATTTGACTGGTTTATTTTGAGAGTGTTCTATTCATTAAAGTTCTGAGCATACCACAAGACACAGAAACAGTTGCTGCCAATTCCCTCTCCATCAAATGTAACATCTTTTCTAATTCACAAACATCTCTATCTTCTATCACTTTCATGACATGAACAGCATCTTATCAATTAAGATACGCCCTAAGAACAGCAATGTCAGCACTGGAATTATGTACTAATTTGCTGATTAAAAGGCAGTAAGTGGGAAATAAACTACGTAAATAATAAGAAATACTTTCAAGTAGAAATGCTGCCTTTGAGGAAATAAAACAGACCTATTTCTAAATTTGCTATTAGTAATGATCTTAAAATATGACACTCTATTCATAGATATCAAGTTCAATTAAAAAAAAATCAGGTTAGTCAAATTTACTTATGACTATAAATCAGTGGCCCTAGGATAGCAGAGTAGCTCTATGAAGAAAAGCTCCACGGCCACTCTGAATGGGGATGGAATCACAATTACATGGTCCATCAACTTTTGGCTGTCAAGGCAAGGGGGCAGCTTTTGGCCAAATTAATCCTCTGCTTAGGAGTTTATTAAAATCCAAGTTATTCTCCTATGAAACTAATTATTACTTAATATAGCAAAACTTAGAGCCCCAAAGTCTCAGGTTCTAAGACAAATATTTATGTTTTAGAAGGGAAATGGATCACAGAAATTGAAACTATTAAACCATTTAAATAGTTCTGAAATTTACGCATTCTTCATGCCAATTTTAAGGTATATGTAAACAGTAGATTAACTGGATTCATCTTTTTTGGACTGTATTGGATCAGCAATTGGACAGTGACTACCTGAGGAAAACAATCTTATGATTCATCAGCAGAGCATGTAAGGGATGGGAGGGATAAGATCTCTTACCTGTAATGAATAGACTCTGTTAGTATGCCCCTGCAACGTGTGTAGACAGGTCTCGGTCTCTGGATCCCATACCTTCACCATAAAATCGTATGCGCCACTAACAACCCTCCTGCCATCATACTGAACACAGCGGACTGCTGCTACATGACCCATCAAGACATGTAAACACTGGCCTGTCTCAATATCCCAAACCCTAAGAGTGGCATCTCGAGAACCGCTAACAACTCTGCAGGGGGAAATAGAAAAGGGTGCATTAGAGCTTCTAAAAATTTGAGAAAACATGATAGATGAAGAGTCAGTAAGGTTTTTCTTCTTTTCTTAAGTAGGAACACCTGTTTTGATAAGCACTCCTATTTAAGACCTTCACATACAAATACAATATTGAGTTATTCTGATTGGAATGAAAAGTGAGAAAGCCAAGAATTTCACCTGGTTGGTTCCCTGATTTATGGACCTTGGTTCCAGCACCTCAAGGTACCATGGAACAGAGTCTGAAAAGAACTGTAATATATTTAAAAAGAAGGCCATTCTCAATATATATAATATGGGTTCAATTTTAGAAATAAACCGGTATATGCACATATATATTAATTTTAATGGATTTCTAGGTGGTATTATTTTGAACTTAAAAATTGTTTTTTATGTTGTCATTTCCCTAAATTTTGATTACGAAATGCCCATTACATGTGTGATTAGAGGGCTGCTGCAGTGGCTCAAGAGGTAGAGCACCTGCCTAGCAAGTGTAAGGCCCTGAGTTCAAGCCCCAGCAGTGCCTAAAAAAAAAAAAATCCATAACATTTGTGATTAGATAAAAAATACAATAAAGGTTTCTCAACATAATAGAGTTGTAATCAGAATTTGTGATTTAAAAAGCTATAGACGTTACCTTCTACTTTATATGCTGATAAAATTAACTACTTGTAGATGTGTGTTCAAGCAAAAGCTGCTAATACTTATGATTTTTAAATATTCAATAGCTCTGGGGATATTAAGATATACAGATTGTAGAAGCAATAGAAATGCCTCAAAAATTTGGCCTAGCATTAAGGTATATTCTTCTGAAAACAAGAGCAATTCAAACCATGCAACCATCTCTGGATTATAAAACAAAGTTGAAAACCAGGTACCACAGTCATTCCTAAGAGATAAATGCCAGTTTCCATACTTCAAAGAAGCAAGAGTCTGAAGATAACTGAAATGCAAGGTCTTTTGATAATCATCCCTCAAATTTTATCCATATATTAAGCACATAGTTCAAAGTAGATTGTAATTACAAGTAAAAAGGTATTGTTCTGTGCATATTACAACACTAGGATGAAGTCTACTTATCACAATTGTTCTTAGTAAAGGTGCTATAGACAGAATTACAGGTAAAGATTATTGTGGATTCACTGTAAGAACCCTTCAAAGAGATCTTTTTTTTTCTTTTTGAGACAGGTTCTTGAGGCTTGCTAGGCTAGCCTCAAACTCCAGACCCTCCTGCCTCAGCTTCCTGAGTGCCAGCACCACCATGCCAGGGCAAAGATCCTTTCTGACAAATGAAATAAAAAAATGTATTTGTTTAACAGGGGTACAATGAAGATGTGTCAACAGAAAGACAGGATTTTAGTAGGAAGGCACTGCAGAAGAAGATGGGTGCAACAGTAAAGGCCCAGGCACTGAGACAGAAAAGGCAAACAGTCTGGTGTGGTTGAAAACACTTTGAAAACTTGACTGAAGGTTTCTTAATTGGGCAGCCAACAGAAGGCTCCTAAAAACTTAAGGATTGGGCAGACGCTACTCATTGTAATTATGGGAGGGCTCTCTGTTGGCTGCATAAAAGATCAGAAGACCATGTCTAAAAGCTGTGGCAACAGTTCAGATGACAGGTAATGAGAGAATAAAGTAAAGCTACAGGCCTCAGCTTTTACGCAGATGTAGAGGATATGATAGAATTGGTATAAGGTTAGTGGATAATTGAAGACTCAGAAGCTTGAAGCCTGAGTGACTGAATTGGTTCCATTTGCAGAAATATGAGTATGGAGAGAGAAAATGATTTTTGTTTAATGATGATGAGTCATCAAAGAACAATACAAAGGACTAGGGAATAGAGTTTCAAGGAGGAAGCCCACAACTATCAAAGAAGGAAGGAAATATGAAAATCTCCCAATTTTAAGCCAATACAATATGACTTTCCTAGTTTAGAAATGTCTGCAGTATAATAATTAAGGTCTAATTTAAGAGCTCATTATCACTACCTCAGTAATGCTACAAAGAAATGTCCTAAATTCACAAGCGACAGGAAGAAATCCCAAACATGATAGGATCACTCCTTACCTTTTTTCATGGAGATGCATACAACGTACAGTGGAAGTATGCCCATACAAAGTGTGTATACATTCTCCAGTCTCAGCATTCCACACTTTGAGAGTCCGGTCTGTAGATCCACTAATTATGATATTGTCTCTCATCTGTGATGACCACACTCCACCTGTATGTCCCACTAATGTTCTCAGACACTAAAAAAATACTTAAGATGATTAATTTTGGGTAGAAAAGAAAGCAATTCAAATAATGTATTAATAGCTCAGGAAAAGTTATTCAATTGGACTGGATCATCAGAAAAAAATTTTTGCACATCAATATAACATGACCCCATTGATATTTACTGCTTCATTTATTCAGCAGCATTATACACTAATACATGCATATACAACTGAGGAAAAATACATAGAAAGCAAACATGATATGAAACATGATTAAGACTCACATGATAAACATATGACAGAAAGGAAACACTCTGGGATGAAAGCAAAGTGTGATAGCTCCAGTCTGGCCTCCTTGATGAAATAATACTAAAATTGCAACTTGGTTTCTTCCATGGGAATAGGTTCAGTGAAAGAATGCCAACACAGTTGGGTGTGGCAACATACCACATTTCATATAAATCTGCTTGAAGGCAGTGGTTAGAAGCCAGCCAAACTACTTCTAGACAAGTAAAGACAGACTAATAAACCCTGAAATAAATCCAAAACTAACATTATACCACGGAAATACGAAGCTGCTTTAAAAATTTTTACCGTCCAATTTGGAGTATTTGTAAGACTCTTGTCCAAGAAGCATAAATGGTAAAAGACATTTTTAAAACATGGATTTTTTTAAAAAAATCTTTCTTCTATTACTTTTTAGATGGCCGATTAACTTAAGTCATGAAAAAGTTGGACAGACAAAAATATTCACTATAGAATCATTAAGGTGTAATACATGAAGTGAAGTCATCATGCTATTGTTTGACTGCTTTTTTTCTTCAAGCCCAATTTAAATACCTACTCTGCTTAACAACTTTCTTATCACTAGGGTTCTCCCTAGTGATAAGATTTACTTATCACTTAACTTCTAAATTATGTATCACTTATCAACAAAGCAGTTTCTAAGGAAAAACAAATATCCCTCAATCATACTTTTGAAGGACATCAAGAAGTAATGCAGCAAGAAATAGAAGGGAAAGGTAGAAAGAAGTAAGCCAAGGAAAAGACAAAGCACATCGGAAAAATCTTGTAATATCTAGGGCACAAAGGTAGACAAAGTATTTGAAGAAAAACTAATGACATCCTATCATGGGGAGCACTACCTTCATGCCAAAGTGATGACTTTCATAAACATGGGAAAAAGGCTAAGTTAGAAACCCTGATATTTGCCTCCAATGTAAGTGAGGTTCAAAATGGAACCCTTGTTTTTCTTACTGGTCAATCCTTGCAAGGATATTACGAAATGGTGATTTGGTAAGGCGGAGAAAGAAGTAAACTTACTTTGCCTGTGACTGCTGACCAAACTTTTAAAGTGTTGTCATCAGAACCACTAACTATTCGGTTACCACAAAACTGCAGGCATGTGATCACATGATCATCGTGTCCTTTCAGCACCTTCAGACAGATGAGCACATTAGAAATATGCTATTACATATGTTCTTTAAAATATGGAAAAAAGAAAAGTAAGTCACAAATAGGGACAGTGATTTGTAGTCTACTTCTAGAGTTAAAACTTACATCAAGTATGAAGCATCATCCTTTCTGGCTGATGACTCAAGCATTAAACATTTTTATTATTTCCATATTCTATTATTTACACCTGAAACACCCACTACTGAAATTTTAGTGAGTCAACGCCTCATAAAAATGGTTCCAACATATATGTACTTTATAATCACCTATTTTATCTGTTTAAACTAAAAAGAATCAATCTTTTTATAATTTTGATTCCCAGCAAAAGAAAGCACCTACTAACCAGAAAGACAAGAGTAACAACTATCAGTTTTTTCAACTTAAAAAATGCTGCCATAATGTATGCATATAGCATCTCCCCAAATTGCTTTTTTTCTTATAAAAGTACATCTGAGAATTTAGAACATTTTTACCATCCTTTATGGTGCTTGAAATGTAAAACAGAAAGTTAGAATTATGCTTGACTATATACAAAATAAAACACAGAAAAACCACCAAATACCAAAACACAGGTACTTGTAAATAAATCCTGTTTGGACTATGTGGTGAGAGGGACTGAGAATTCTTAGGGAGAATACATACAGCACAAAATTCAAAAGAACATTCTGAGATGTTCTTTTATAAACAGTAGAAAGACATTTATCTCAACTCACCATCGATTCAAGTAAAAGTTGTGATCACATTACAGAATTTAGCAATAAAGGAATACTGTCAGTTATTTTAGGTTCTTTTTTTTTTTTTTGTGGCAGTAATGGAGTTTGAACTTAGGGCCTCTCACTTGCTAAACAGGCACTCTACCATTTAAACCACATCTCCAGCCCTTTTTGTTTTAGGGTAATTTTCACAAAGAGTCTCCCTTTTTGCGTACACTGGCTTGGAACTGGGATCCTACAACCTGTGCCTCCCATGTAACTAAGATTGCAAGTACCACCATGCTTGGCTTACTTATTGAGATGGTGGAACTTGCTAACTTTTTGGCCTAGTTGGTCTTAAACTGTGATCCATGCCACGACCACTACCAACCACCAATCCCAATCTCTGCCTCCCAAGCAGCTGGTATTACAGGCATGAGCCACTGCACCCAGCCATAGTTAGCTTTCTTCCCACAGAAAATAGATGTCAAGTTATACTACTTGCTAAGAAGTAGAACACTATGTTACGTACTACCACTGATTAATGGTTTCTGATACACTGTGCGAGATTTCCACATACCTTAGGAGATTTGAGCTCTCCTCTCCTCCAATTTGTATCAATTCTGTGCTGTCTGATGTATGCACTTTTCCATGGACTGTGTATGAAACCTGGCTTTATTACTTTTCTTCTCTTGATGTGTAATGGTTCATCAATCCCTGCAGTGCCAAAGAGTTCAAAAGAATAATTCCTTCCACCAAAAATAAAAACTATCTATTTTATAATGTATCTCATTTTCTTCTGAGTTTAAAAACCAGTGAAATGCAAGACTTTGTCCAGTTTCTACTCCTGTTAGTAAGGTATGTAACAGTGACATAAAGTTTGGATTCTGTATGGCCTAGCTTTATTCATTACTGCACTTCTTCTGAGCTGTACACATTAAAATAATCAATTTTATTATGTACATATTACAATATTTAAAAAAAACAAAAAATGAGTCTGTGAGAGAAGGTGGGGCAGGATTGATTAATCCCACTTTACATATAAAGATGCCAGAGGAGGAAGATTTCACTAACTAATCCAAGACTGAGAATCAGGATTAGAAAGCAGGTACCCTAGCTTTTCACCTCAAAGCTTTACAAACATGGACTAACCATCAATACTCTCCCTGACTACACTACCACCCCAAAGGTGAATCATCCACAGAGTGCTGCTGGGGAAAAAATCCTTCCTTTAGTTAATATGCTGGTATCTGCTCCTCTAATAAGAAAGAGGATTTAAAAAACAAACCGTATTTCAAAAGTATAAGCTCCACAACGGTCGGAAAATGACAGGGCCCTACTCTATCCCCAGCATTTAAGGATGCCTAGTTCACTGGCAGTGTCCAGTCACTTATGGACACTTATGTGATGAATGAATATTCAATTACTTGGGTATTTAACTAGTAATATAATCTTTAGGTTTTCTTTAAATTGTCCTCATCGTTCTTTTATCATTGAAGTCAAGTAGATGAATGTAAATGAAAAGCATTATTTGACAGGCTGCCAAAGTTTTCTCATTTTTCCACTATCTTATTCTATCTGTTTTCAGAACTACTTTTCTTTTTCGAAGTTCAAACATATTCTCTATGCAATTGTGAACCTTACCCTCTTCTTTGCATTTCTCTCTCCAGAGAAGGTTGTCTTCAGCCAAAATTCTCCAGTAGCGACATGTCTGAGCCGCTTGTAACAGGTCTTTGGGTTCCAGGAAAGAAAGCACATAGAGTGCCAGCTATGAAAAATAAAAGGGCATAGTACACTCACATTTAAAAAAAATAGAGAGGTTAATCATCCTCCACAGGATAAATACTTATATTTTAATGTAATGTAATGTAATGTAATTCTACATTGTAATTCCTAAAATTATAAAGGAAGTACCTTCAATCTTAACAAATATAAGCTCGATGAAAAACAAATACCCTATAGGCTTTTGTTTTAAAAACAAACTTCACTAACTCTGTATCTGCTCTTACCTTTGCTTTGTAAGCCTAAACATAGTCTATTTTATATTTTACTTTTGTTTACATTTATAAACAATGTAAATCCACCAAAGACAGGATCCAAGTGCTTGCCTGACAGTCTGAACTGGTAAGAAATGAGATTTCTATAGGTTCTGTGTGGTGTAATTTCAGACCATTTTTGATAGTTATTGTAATGAGTAGCTCTTCATCACATCAAAGTGTGTATCACAATGATAAACTTTGACTGTAAATGACAAAATGAGAGGATTATTAAACCATTCCACAGACAAATAAAGTAATTGGGTTCTAATTACTTTATCTTGCTTATGGAGATTTTCTTGATGAGTCACAGAGTTGTTTATTTGAATTACCTCTTTGGTATACGAATCGTCTAAAAACTTTGTTTATAATATTTGTAAACCATTTTTTAATGTTGGAAGCCCACTCAAGTAAATAAAAAGGAAAGAAGTGAAATGACAGTCTCTGATCATGCTCATTCAAGTAGCTGCACATATCATATAAATTTAAATTATGATATTAAGGTAAAAATCCGAACAGAGCAATCAAGCTTAGTTTTTACATAAGCTAAATGACAAGAATTAAATAAAACTATTTTTAAAGGGCTATGGGTCAGACACAGAGTAAAGGTACAACTTGAAGCTAAATAGGAATTACATGATATAAATCATGTGGATCCCAATGACTGTGCATATATAAAGATTCACCATTAATCATATATTTATTGAGTACATTCTATATCCAAAGTACTCCACTATCCATCATACAGTTCAATACTATTGATTGACAATGAAAAACTTTTCATGAAATAACTGTTTTTGTCTATCAGAGAAGACCATTCAGTATATGTATAGATAGTTATTTATAATGAAAAGGTCTAACTATATTCAACAATCTATGTATATATACATGCATATATAAGTATCTCTTACCATTATATGTTTTTTAATGGGTACTTCATCAATCACTTAATTTTGAAATTTGCAATCAATCAAAGCCTAGACAAGTCTGCTTAGTTTCAAAGTAATTGTAATTTGCTGTCTTCATATTTTTAATCTATATAAAAATGTAATCTAACAGAAATTATCAGGTACAAAGATATTTGTGCAAAGGAGATGCTAATTAATGCCCAAGATATTTATAACAGTCATATGGAAAAGCCTATTCTTTGCTTTGGTTATCTGACTGAAGTAGAAATAAGGTAATTTACAAAAATAGTCAGTTCATCTTAAAGGGTAGGAAAAAACAAATCCAATACAGTTTAGGGAAAATTTCCTTTTTTAATAGTGATTAAGAAGGGATGAACCAAACTGGGGTACAATAAATGTATATAAGGAAACGTCACAATAAAATCCCTTGTATACGATCATATAATAATAAAAGTGTTAGAAAATGATTAAGAGATCAAATCCAGTGTCAACATGACTTAAAGTGAAATGCAAAGTAACACTAGGTGCTAAAGAAAGTTGAAGTGCTAACTCCATAAGTAACTAGCACACTTTCCTTTAAAACAGTAAAGGATCTAACTCCATCAGGAACTTCGACTTATTAAACTTACCTATTGACATCTAGCTAGTTCCATCAAAACATATAACTAATGTATGCTGCCAATAGTGTCTAACATGGCTTTGAATTAAACTGTGGAGTACTTTGGTAAGTATCCCAATGTACCTCAGAAGAACAGTAATAAACAAACTGTGGAGTAAAAAGGGAACGGTAATTAGTCACATGAGTCTTTCTTATGGAGAAGTATACAATTCCTCAAAGAAAGAAGGCTTTGCTATGAAGGGCTCTGAAATGGGAATTGAGTGTTTCTTTCCCCTCAAAGTCACTGTGGAAATACTATCTCTCAATGTAATGTTTATTAGGAAGCAGGACCTTTGGGAGGTAATTAGGTCCTGAGGATGCAGCCCTTAGGAATGGAATTAAGACCCTAAAAAGGGCTTCCAGAGAACTCTTGTGCCCTCTTTCTGCCATTTCATGCTAGGATATGAGAAGATAGAAGTCTGTAAACTGGAAGAGCTCCCTCACCAGAACTCAACCATGCTGACACCGTAACATCAAACTTCCTAACCTCTAGGACCATGAGAAGTGAATTTCTAATGTTTATAAATCACACAGTCTATGATAATTTGCTATATAGCAGCTGGAACTGACTAAGATGATTTCCTTATTGTACTTAAAAGGTAGCTAATACCATCTCAGGACTGATATATTTCAGGAGTCTGAACTATCGAGGAAAATTTTTTCTAGACCAAAGAAAATACTAATATATTATTAAAAATTGCAGGTTTTGTTCTAGATCATGTACTATATATCACTATTATTTTATTGGTGTTTACTAACAAAATAAGGACAATGCTATTTATCACAAGCTTCTTATGTAAGATCAGAGAAACTTTTGTCAAAGTTTTTGAGATTTGTAAGTAAATACTGGTAAAGAGCACTGAGATTTGTTGAAATGAAGTGTAAGAAAATGTAAGTCCATCTCCTGACAGAAAGGCAATGTCTTAAATAATGATAATGCTTAGACTCTGATAAAATAACGTAAATTCCCTTAAAAACTTAGATTCACACTATTATCTCTCTACATATAAAATAAAGCATTTTTCAAATCAGGGCATTTAATATAGGCGATATGCTAGGACTCCTGCTTATTTCCTATCTCATGTCATGATTTTTCTCAGGCAACCTTTACAAGAACACTTAGGCCAAGAGAATCTTTACTAGACTCTCCCTTGGTATTGACTATTTTTTTTAGTTCTTAAACTCATTAAAATATTTTTAAATTCCACTGACTTTAGGTCACATTTTTGTGTGTTAAGAAGTAATTATAAAATTAGAGTAAAGCAAAACAAACAGAAAAACCATCTCACCATTCTCAGAGATAAAGGAACAAACTAGAAAGTCTGGAAAAGTAAGATCAACAAAAATGCTACCCTTTAAAACAAGGATGATACCAAGGGAAAGTTTAACTAATATATCACTTATGAAATTGCTTCTTATTATTAATGCCCTTCTGGAAGCAAAGAGAGCTTATGTCACTTTCATAAGCCAAAATCTATTCAAAGGGTTCAGTTTTACAAAGAGCTAGCAATAGTAATTTTTTTTTCCTGGGACAATGTCAGGTTTTAAATGAACTCCAAAGGAAAATCCCCGGGACGAAGTACTCTGTCAATTTTGCCTTTCCCTGGAGTTATGCTTAGCTTCACATACTAAATATGACAAAACTTTTATTCACATCCCATGGGAAATTATAATTGGGAATATCTTTAATGCCATTAGAATATTTAGATTATCTGAAAAAAATCGACTCCTTTTCAGTTCAAATTTGAAGTTTCAGGGTCATTTGCAATGGTACCTTAGTATTTTATGTTGGCTTCTTAGAGGACATATATAATTAGTGGCATATACATAATAATTTGTGAAAATGTAAGTCATGGGGATATTGATTGGTTAATGTTGTATCATTTCTGTTTGCTAACAAATATTAAGCTATGAAGTCTAGTCTATAATATCAATAAAAGTATTACATCTAAACTATGCCTTATTTATATGATCAAGAATGCCCACATGATCACGATAAGAACAGTGTCATAAAAACCAAATGGGTGTAAGTAATTCCAAAAGGGTCATAAATAATCCTGTAAGAATAAATTGGCATGGGAAGAGTGTCTGTGTGTGTATATGTATATATGAGAAAGACAAAGATGATTAATAGAAAAAGATATATACGAAATTCTATGTATTTTTAAAATAATTACATAAAGTAAAACAGAAAAAAGTACAATTCAATATAATCATAAAACCATTGGTTTTGAAGGAACTTAAGATACATGCATGATAAAATAAAGGGAAAAAAAGTACTGTACTGCTGTTTTAGTAAAATCAGAATTTAAAACATTCACTATAAATAATAAACATACTAAAACAACTAAAGGCTGGACTTTAGATAATCAGAAAAAAAAATCTAGGTGAAGAAATAATCAAATGAATAAAATCCATATACTCCCATGCATATGACTTATTCAGGTAGAAGAAGGAGTTAACATTTCATAAGCATACTTTTATATGACAATTATATTATTAAGTCATAACAGTTTATCAATGTACAGCCCTCTTTATCACTAATTAAAAATGTTAAACTGAAAATGGTGAATACTATAATTAGCATTATAATGTTGAAATGTGGTACTTGTTGAGTTATATGTTCAAATGGCACCCAATAAAGAATGGAACTGATCATTCTTACCTCTTTAGGAAGCAAGGAAATGAAGTCTCTTTGAAACTGGGGTTCTATCACTTGCATCATATGTTTCACTTGTGTGGGTTCACAACTATCAATGAGCTCATCTAAAGCAAGCAACTTCTCTGGTCCACTCCAGCTCTGCCACAGAGGAATGAGAAATTTTTATTATTTTAACAGACGTCCCAAATTATAAACTCATAAAGGAAAATCCACATCCACACAACAGTCATGACTGAACAAGGTAGAACTACAAAAAAAGTGTATGGCTTCCTCCAGAAGCCATATTAGTGACAGTGATTCCGTCTCATCAAGTTCACTACCTACCTTTTTTGTAAAAGCTTTTAAAAAGTCCTGGTTTTGACAGAGAAATCTTTTTCATTATATTATTATAATAGTTACATGTTCATTCCTCCACAAAGATACTGGCTGTGATGCCAAGATTTTATTCCAGAAACATCAACTGGGGTTACTGTGCAAATAAGAAATTTTGACTGATGATTGTTCTTTCTCTATTTTCTTTCTAGTGAGTAGCATAAAATTTTATGATTTTAATAAGGCTTTCATTTTCACTCTAAGATGAAAATGATTCACAACATCATTTAGTGAAAAATTAATAAACTGGATAGTCTGTACATATAACAAGTGCCTTCCACAAGCTAAAAGGGCTATGATTTATTTTATGAAAATAATTTCAGAAAAAAGCAACAACCAGTAGAAAAGTATGGCTTAAGTGGAACAGTACCTGCCCAGCACGTGCAAAGTCAAGTTCAAACTCCACTATTGCCACACACACAAAAAAAATCCATCTATCTATCTATCTATCTATCTGTCTGTCTGTCTGTCTATCTATCTATCTATCTATCAAGGCTGACTTAGTAATAAAATTAGAATATTAAAAAACAAAGAGTAAGAAAGTGCTATACTACAGAAAAAAACCTACATAATTATACTTCAAAAATATGAATCCTATTAAACAACATTAGGTGATTTTCTTAAAATGTTTGATTCCTAATGAGGTACACAGAAAAGCAACAATTCTTTTAAAGTAAAAACTTAAAAGCTACGTGGATCCAGGTGCCAGTGGCTCACACCTGTAATCCTAGTTACTTGGAAGGCTGAGATTGGGAGGATTAAGGTTCCACACCAGCCCCAGCAGAAAAAAAAACTTTTTTGAGACCCCATCTCAACAGAAAAAAGTATGGTGGTGCACACCTGTCATTCCAGCAATGATGGGAAGCATAAAATAGGACTGTGGTCCAGGCTGGCCTGGGCAAAAAGCAAGACCCTATTTCCAAAATAACAAGGGCAAAAAGGACTGGGGGCATGGTTCAAGGGTTAAGAGAACCTGCCTAGCAAGTACAAAGCCCCGAGTTCAAATTCTGAAGCCATGTGAAAAACTGAACATGTTGGAATTTCATAATAATGTAAAACACTGAAATAACCTCATAATAATTAAGTGAAAGAAATCTTTGAACAGACATCACATCTGTTTCTATAAATCTAGGCTGATTTAAGTACTTTTGCAAGTCATTACATCCATTTTAGAAGTGAGTGAACTGAGAATAATAGGTGAGGTTTGGAGCTACAAGAATCTAGATTTTGAACTTCTATTTCTTGCTTTGTAAGACATGAAATACATAATTGAAAACTGAGATATATTAAGATCATCAGGAGCCTTATTCAAAATGCTTTTAAAGCATTTTTTAAAAGTATTTACCTTTTTAGAGTCTACAATGAACTTCATCTCTTCTTTCCTATCATAAACTATAGATTATAGTAATTCTATGAATTGAATATAAATACTTCAATAGTATTTAACTATTTCAATTACATATTCCATTATACCACCAAATATAAGGAACCACAGGCTTCGTTATGTTGTGTCCTTCCTTTTACTTGTATACATATACATATTCAGATATTGATTTTGAGTACTCACCTTGCATCTTTTTTGGTCAGTAAGGATTTACACAAAGAAATTTAAAATACCCATATACATGACCATAAGAGCATTTGCTTAATTTGTTTTGGTTTCCCTCATGTAACTAACTTCTAGCACTGGCTCAAAACTTAACTATTTGACAATCAGATCAGTCTTCACTCATCCCTGACCATAGAGTATCAATATTATAAACTCACTGAGTTATTGATTTACAACCCTCATAGGATTTAATGTGTGTTTTCATAGTAAGTCATGGCTCTCCTCCTACATCATAGGGGATTTGTAGACAATACTACTGTAAGGACATGCCCATTTGGGGTGATGGACACTATCCTGACTCAAAATTAAAATGCAGTTTTAATTAAGGCAACTGACAGCAAAATAAATTTAGAATAAACTTCTCCTTTGTATATATGAATTCCTGCTTTAAAATTATTTTCGGGAAGTCTTCATGGTAAATTTGGGAATAAAATCAAATATGTCAATTTTATAGTAAAAAGACTGAAAAAATCAATTACTCCTCTACATACTTTACTTGTATTAATTACTTACATTAACAGCTACTATACCTATAAAATATAATTTAAGTTGTACATGCTTAATTTTTTAATGAATTACTATTAAAAAATAAAAACTATCAATATACAGAAAATAAATGCTAATAAATGAGAAATATCTTTTATCAAATCTTTTAAAGAATATGCTATAGAATAGAAAACTAAACCAGAAGATAAATAATTCAGATCTTGAGTAAATGTTTGAAAATGTCAGAAAATTTTATACATTTAAAACAAAGCCCATGAAAAAAATTTATGCCTATACCACAAAATGTTTCATAATTCTAAACAGTATTTTAATTGTTTTAAAGAATAATCGATTTAACAAGAGTCAAGTAAAATTAAAATTATGTCTCAATATAAATTACACATTAAGGAGATGTTAGTTTGCCATATTTTATTGCAAAGTATACCACCAACAAAGATTACATAGTAAATGAGACTGTCTCCATGGATCATACACATTCAACAGTCCAATTATTTAAAATCATATCTCAGGTGACTCCAAAAAGTCTGGGCCATTTGGACAACTTTCCTCTCTCCAGTCTGGATTTCTTCCCCAAACTCAAGATCTGTACATAAAATTACTTCCTTAACATCAATGTAATAGAAACTTAACGTGTTCATGACCTTTCTCTCCAAATCAGAACTTCCACAGTCTTCCTCATCTCTGTAAAATACAACTCTGTTTTACTAGTTGCTCAGGCCTAAAACTCTAGAGTCCTCCCTGATTCTTCCCTTTCTCTCACCATCAGATGACTCTGATCCAAATGAATTCTTGTAAGACCTCAAAACTTTAAAACATATCCAGAATCTGACCATCACTCCACTGGTCTGTCATCAACATGTCTCGCCTAGATTATTTCTATAATCCCTGGTCGGTCTCTCAGCCTCCTACCTTGGCCCTCCTCCTTCTGTTCTCCATGCTGTACACAGGGACACTGTTAAAAGTCACTCTTCTACTTAAAACCTTATAGTGGCTATACTCTCTTCTGTCAAATAAAAACCAAAGTCCTTAGGTGGCCCACAAGGGTCTAATTTCCCATTACTTTCCCTTTTGTTTACTCTGCTCTGCCATGCACATTTTTTCTGTTCCTCAAGCACTCCAGGCATGCTCTTCTTCAGGGACTTCGCTTGCTGTGCCCTGCCTGGTCCGTTCTATCCTAGACACCCACAAGCTCACTTCCTTCCCCAAGGAACTTTCCTTCCCTGAGCACTACTTTTAAAATTGCAAACCAGTTCTAACCCTCCAACTCACCCTCTCCTAACTAGAATGTAAGTTTCATGAAAAAGCATTTTTTTGTCTGTTTTATTCACTACTATATACTAGATCCAAATAGGGCCTAGCACAAAAGTACTCAATAAACACCATGGAATAAATGAATGAATCCCAAGAGTCAGGACTACTACACCAATGTTATCTCAAAACTCTCTATAGAGTATTTCTATTCTGTACATTTGATGGCATCCTTGGGACTTGCTTGCTTGGTCTGATTCCAAGAATGGTATCAAATTTTGTGTACATACATGACTGAGCCACAATCATATATTTTCATGTATTAACTTGAAAACCTTATGGCTAATGACTATTAAAATAAGAAAAACAACGTAAAACAACCTTTAACAATGAATAGTGGAAACAGCATTAAACTGGAGATCAGGAAACAACATTTAGAGGAGACATTATCACTAATTAGGTTATAATGTAAACTTTTCAGGCCTGGGTTTTAAAGTGTTGGATAACTAACAACTATGGCTTTTCACTTATGTTGAAAAAAGGCTGTCCTGGAAAAGAAAAGAAAAAAGTGCTTCTTTTTTTGTTTTCTTGGTTAAAGTTATGTGGGAATGTATTGAGGGGGATGAAAAAAATATTCCAGGTTCAAATGATCAAGAAAACCAAATTTCAATTTGTGGGCTAAATTTAAATTGCAAATATAAATTCAAAAATTTCCCATGGAAGTGGTATTTTATTTTAGGCAAATTAGAGCACACAGGCAGTACAGAAGTACAGAAGGGGCACAGAACTGCAAGCAGGAGCCTGGGCTTCGCAACTAATTTGCTGTGGAATTGCAAGAAGCCCTGAGATCCCACTCCATAAGAAGGGGCTTGGTCTTGACCACTAGTTCCCAAATGCTGGCCAAGAAGGACAAGAATTCAAAGTCCCACAATCTACCATCTGAGGGTCTCATTCAGTAGTTATTTTTTAAAAAAGCAACTCATATAGTGTCAGATAAAGGGTTTTAAGACCTTGGGTGCCCTGAACTTTGTATGGAAAAGAACTTAATTCTTCAGCACCTCCAACATGGTTATCCAATCTACTTGAACAGTTCTCATTTTACTGTGGACTAGTTGTAATTATTAAGTTCAACATCTGACCATTCAAAATATGATTCAGATTTTACTTTTGGAAGAGACCTAGAATCAGTCTGTTCCTATTTTAATACAAGTCATTGAAATATAAGACAGGGACAGCATTTTTCTTTTAGTCTTCTCTGGCTAAATATATGACTTGATTCAATTTGTCCACACAAGGTTTAACAAGGTTTCTTAATCATACTACAACAAACACAATTTCTGAATAATAATAAACTCATCCTCTTTTGACACTGTCCTATAGGTTTTAAACTTATGCTGATGAGCAAATACAATTAAATAAAAATTTACAATTTTCAAGGGTTACCATGAAACTTGACTAAATTCTTCAATGTAAGAGGTATTATCCCATTTTTAGCAAAAATAGAAGTGTTATATTATTTTATCATTTTTAATACTGAGTGTAACAGATCTTTGCAAAGGACAGCCATAGCTTTATTGCAAATATGCTTTGATTAAAACAGTGTAAAATTAAAGACATTGCACAGTGCTAAAGTTTTTTGATAGCCACAGTAATATGTGAAGCCATTGTTAATAAACAGCCCTTCTATGACCTAGAACAAAGCGTCCCACAAAGATTTTCTTTGACCAGTGAAGGAAACTAACATTTATGGACTTTCTATTTTATTCCCAAGTTTTAAGTATTGTATGTTTTCCCCCTTTTGATAACTTCTTAGTGTTATGTTTGTTTCATGGAGTATGAAAATAGAGGGAAGAATGATTACATAACATCAATAAAATCACTCACTTATTAAGAGGCAAAGCAAAAGTTTGAACTAAGAGCTATTTCATCTAGGTCATATGTGCTTATTCTCTCAGGATGCCTTTGAATATAAATTTCACCAAAAAAGAAGGATCAAGCCATTAGTGTCTTTACCTAGTTTAAACATTTCAAGTGAGAAACTATAACATCAATGCACAAATCACATTAAAAAATGACCAACTTTCTCCTTCAAAATTAATCTGAAACATCAATTTGGGAGCAAAAAAGTGGAATCAATGGCTATTGAAAACTCAAATGGTACAAAATTTCTGTTTTTTGCTCTTTAATTTGTACTTCTATTTTGCAGTAGCAGTCTGTCTCCATTTCCTTTCATTCAAAATGGTGTTATCAGTTGTTCTCATTTAATTCACAAACTGAGTACAAAGTACTTTGTCAGAATAGATGGAGCTGGACCAAAACAATGCTTCATCACTGCCTTAGGACCAACAGGAGGACAGTAAGGGGACAAGATCTCCCATTTTGTTTGTTATATAACAAAAAAGACATTAATTGCCTCCATAGCACATCTGTAGAAATAATGCCAGTTTAATGCATCTCTCAGCTATACCTCATAGGTCAATTCACACCATCCCCACTTTGCTATGAAATTATATCTACCTGTAAGTTAGGCATTAAAGCACTATAAGCCTTCAGGCAAGTGATTCACTCCTAGTTACTCTGGCACCAACACTGGAAAAAAAAAGCGGGGGGGGGAGTGGGCAGTGTACGACAATGAGATCTGGGATATGTCAGAAACAGACACAGCAGTCAAAAGATTAAGGTCCCGATATTCTTGTTGAGTTGATCTTTTGTTGCTTATAGATTTGTTTGCCATAGACTATTTACCTGAAAAAAATTATAGTTCCATATCTGTAGGGATAACTCCACAGTTACCTTAAACTATAACAAGTTTTCACTGCACCTATTTCTCATATGGAAAAGCAACCAAATGCTTTTATAGGACGGAAATGTGGCCCAATATTATTAAGTCTCATTGATTCTAAGAAACAAGTGTTTGTTTATTTGGATTTTCTTTCTTTGTTTGAGACAGGCTCTCACTATGTAGCCCAGACTACCTTGAACTCTCAACCTCACTAGAGTTACAGGCGTGCCACACCACAACGATTCACAAAGTTTTTTGTTTTGAGTTTTATAATTACAATTCACATTTCTGAATTTAAAATATTTCCAAAAATCTAGTCTCATATTTGATGAAATACAGTAAATGGTAATACTTGGTCATTTTATTAAGGAAAGCATAAGCTGGCTAAACAATCAAACATTATAGAAAGGACTCTCTAAAATATCTTCACTGCAAAATAAAGGACAAATGCCTCCCACTAAAGATCAACACTAGAAAGAGTTCCCTTAAAATTGTTGATCATTAATGGCATGAAAAGAAGATTTTGGTATGTTAAACACTGAAAAAAAATGGGCCCTACAACATAAAAAAAAATCTTACCCTGAAGTACCTCTTAAGAAATAAGCCTTTTCAAATATAATAGGCTGTCTAGAATGATCATAAAATTATTGCTTTATTTTTCAATCATGTTAGCATTTTCATACAAAAATGATAAGAATCATCTCTATCATACTCAGGGTTCTAAGTGGCTCACACTTACACACATGTACAAGCATGAGAACATACCCATTTCCCTTCTCCCTGGCTTAATCAGAGATAATAAAAATCTCTGAATATCCCTTTAAGACTATACAAATAAGGTATCTGAGCTTTATTTTAATTTCTTCTTTTTAATGGCTATATTTATTTTGAAAGGATAACCAAAGAAAAAGTTGAGAACTCTAAAGGTATATATAGGAAAAAATTAAAATTTAACAATATCACAAGCCAGGCACAATGGTTCATGCCTATAATCCTAGCTACCCAGGAGGTAGAGATCAGGAAGATTGTGGTTTGTGGCCAGCTTGGGCAAAAAGTTCATGAGGCCCCTCAACCCCTCTCCCCAGCTGGGCATGGTGACATGCACCATCATCCAAGCCATGCAGGAAATGCAAATAGGAGGAATTGAGGTTCAGGTCAGTGTGGGAATAAATGTGAGACCCTATCTGACAAAGCAAAAGGCCAGCTTGCCAAGTGTGCAAGGCCCTGAGTTCAAACTGTGGTGCCACCACCAAGAAAACATAAACCTGAGGTAAAAATGCAGGGAGGGGTGAGGTAGGACTAATCCTTGGTCCAAAGGTAGCCTTTACTGAACAAATGACTAAATAAAAACTAACAAAAAAACTTTGAAATCTTTGTAATTCAAGTGGTTTGTACATTTTAATAATAATAAAATATATCTTATTCCTCTAACCTAGAGATTCTTAACCTTAGTCCTGCTGACATTCTGGGCGGGTAGTTCTTTCTTGTTTCTTGCAAGAGGCTGTTCTTCACACTGCCTACACTTACTAGACGCCAGCAGTATCCCACCTCTGCCCACTCACATGTAACAACCAACAATGGCTTGAGACATTTTTGTTTCAAATATGGGAAAAGCCAAACCCTGCTGAAAACCAAGGCCCTAACCTTTTAGTTACTCCTCAACCCAACCCAACCCCAACCCCAACCCCAGCCCCGGCAAAACGGTTTCCTGTGTTTCTAAAATCACCTGAAGGGTGAAAACAATTTTTAAAAAGTGATTTAAAAGCAACATTGCTTTAAGAAGTTTTCCAGGTATAGAAGAAAAAAACTGAGACATTTATTTTAGTTTTCCCTATGTATTTAAAACACTAGGATTTTAAGAAGACATCTTAAAAATCTGAAATATAAGAGTATCTTTTGTAACCATTATTTCCATTCATTATATACTCAACCATTCAAGCAGCCAAAGATGGTACAAATATACTCATTTTACATTAGTATGGTGTTAATATTAATTATCTTCACTTCATAGTTAATTACTTTTTATTTGCAAAGAATAACTGAATGCTTAATCCATGCCAACTATTTGGTAAACACTTGATTTGTATGCATTATCTCATAGGTAGAAAAGATAAGTCGATTAAATATCACTATCTTAAGTTATAAAGCTCAGAACATTCAAGGTTTGGTTTCAACCAATCTTTCTAATAATGTTCCAAGAATTTAAATGCCAATAAAAGACAGTAATGGGAATTTGAGCACTCGAAGCCATAGGCACTAATGAGAAGCCGGATTAACTCTACTAGGTAACAGTGACAGGAAGGTTACCTCCAGTAAATAATTAGTGGAGTTCTGAAATCAATCTTCAGTTTCAGAGTTTCTAAACTCTTGGTTTAGAAAACAAGAACCTAAGTCCCCAACAGCAACCCAGAACCCAAACATAAATGAGAAAAAAGGGCTTATTATTTAAAAAGCTAAAAATATAAACTTATTTTTTTTAAAAAAAGCACAAAATAAGCATAAGACTTTTTAAAATCATATTTAAAAATTAAAATGAGTTCCTTTATTCTTGAATAGCATGGGGGGTGGAACTTAAGATAATCATTTAAAAGTGTGTACTTCAGGAGTTCCCAGCAAAATAACCACTATCCAGTTGCAGAACACTTCCTTCTCCCCAAAAGAAACCATGGCCCTCCTAACAGTTAGTCCTATCCTCTTCAACCCTCACCATCTGGCAACCAATAACCTACTTTGTGTTTCAATAGATCTGCCAATTCTGACCACTTCATAGAAACAGAATCAATATGTGGGCTTTTATGCCTGCACTAAGCATAATATTTTTAAGGTTCATTTGTGGTATAATATGTAAGAATACTTCATTCTTTTTTACGGCTGAATAATCCCTTATTTTTGCAGTAATTAAGTGAAACATTTCATGTAGTATGTTTATATATATATATATATATATATTATATATATCACCTGAAACATTTTCAGCCATTCCTGGAGGCCTGTTGGTGGTTGGACAGATGTAATCCGGCGTCGTTGTTGCCCTTGGCCATTGGCTGCTCTCAGGTCCCCAAAAGTTGTTGGTGTTGCTGAATATGGTACAAGCCCAGTGGTACTAAAAAAAAAAAAAAAAAGAGGGAGGGAAGGAGGGAGGGAAGGAGGGAGGAAGGAAAGGTACAAGAATGGAAGCAAAGATAGATACTAATTAAGAATCTCAAACCCTAGTAAGAATGATGACCTTGGCATATTTCAAATATCAATATAATTAGTCCTTCTTTTTGCTTATTCTCAGAGAATAGGGGTACACAAGACTGAATCTATTAGTCTTAGATTCCTCCCTCCTATATAACTACCTATTATTATCTCTTTATCAAAACTGCAAGTCATACATACACATAAAGTTAAAATATTTCTTTAGGGCTGGGGCTATAGCTTGGTGGTACAGTATATGATTAGCATACAAGGCCCTGGGGTCAATCCCTATTTACCATAAAAAAACCAAAATATTCCCTCATAACATACAGGCCCCACTTCTATGATGGGTTTACAGTGACATAACTAAATAAAAGTTTTAATTTTCTTCATTAAAAATGTGAGACTATTAATACTTAAAAAAACTCAGAAGTAGAAATAGTAATTTCAAATGTTTTGGATTTCACTTGTCATATAATTCATAATGTTTGTCCCAGAAGCCTTCTAAATTATTCAAAATATTTACCTATTGCCTTCTAATGTTTGTTATTTATAAAGCTTGGTCTAGATATTTGGCAGGAATCAGCCTTGCTTAGAAATGTAGTTATTCAAAATAGGTTTAGAGAACTTATAGACAAAAATTAAATGAGATTATCTAAATATTCCTGTCCAATAATTTAAAAGCCAAACAAACCTGAAATTAAATTTTGCAGTTAGTAATATAAGAAAGACTAGATAATCTAGCTCTAAAATTGGAAAACTCTCTTAAAAATGACTCACAGTAGAAAGAATATAGTGACAGCTATTCTGTTAATACATAAAACTTTGTTTTCTAATTTTTGTATCCAATTAAAGTATTTAAACTCAAGATAAATACTGAGCATCTCTGCTTCAAAGACATTACAAAAAAAGGAGAAGGTTTTGTTTAACAAAATTATACTTGTAAAATAATCCTGATTTCATTGAGCTATAATGAAAGTATTTTAAATACAAGGAAAACATACAAATTGTATTGTAGTAATTGAGTGTCAAGCGCTGATAAATTTTTAATGAAACAATTCCCAATTTTTCTATCTCAATTTCTGTTGAAGAAATGTTATCTCGTTCGCCACATATTATAGAAAAAAAACTTCATACTTGCCCACTTTAAATCTTTTAACATTTATACATTTATGGTAATAACTAACATTCAACAAGTAAATCTATCCTTCCTTCTTTCAAACTCAAAGGCGAATTCAATTTTATCTCCAGTAAAAGAGGATGTTCTAATAACTTAAGTTTTCCAGGAAAAAAAATGCAAAAATCCGTATCATCTCATTACCTGTCAAAAATGTGTCAAAGATATCACAGAACACCAAATATATATATTAGTAACTGACACAATTTCCAAAAAGACATGGAAAGAAATACCATTGGATCTAATTTTGTATTAGTAAGATTATGTTAAAAGGCAGTTGCTTTCTCATAAAAAGTAAGCAACTAAAAACAAATTTTTAAAAAATACATTTTTAAATAAAACTTCAAGACTAATTTACTCTAAGGTGCTTTAAAAACAAGTGAACAATTCAAATGCCTCTGCTCTAGTATCAGTCATATTAATAGAAGACCAAAATAATATGGTTGCCTGAAATCTATACACTGAAAAGTAGCATTTACGTTAGTTTAACATTAAATTCAACTTTCTCATCCAAGAAATGTTTTATCAAGGCTAGAAGGAAAAGCAAAATGAAGCGTTTAACTTGTCTCTCTATCCCTACCATCCCTCTGCTGAAAGTGCCAAAACACAGTGAAGTTGTCAAAAGGCAGTGAGTACGAGGGAAGGGGACAGTCAACATGAAAAACAATCACATAAGGCAGTTCCTCAGTGACTAAGACATGACTTCATTTTTTCTTTTTGTGTCATCTCTCCAGTTTTATTTTTGTACAATTACTCCAATCATTATGATTTCTAAAGTTCATAAAATAGCATTTGAAAGAACTGAATGAAATAAAAATAAATTGTTCCTCTGGGGAAATAACACCTCAGAGAGATACAATTGGTAAAAATCTTTATAAAAACTCTTATACCTGGACAATGTTAATTTCATCTTATAGAATAAAAATAACTCTGAGTCAAAATGTTTTGAGGAGAAAGATGTCATAATCATGGAGTTCTTATGGTCTCTACTGCTAACTCCTGATCAGTTATTTAAAGAGATGACAATTACACACAAACTCACACAAAAAAACCCCAAAAGGTTCTTAAAATACTTTTGTCATTTAAATTTTTAAAATACAGTATTCCAACTGACGTTTAAAGCCATTTTTAATTGGCTGGGTAACAGATATTGTGCTTAAGTTAGCATAATTAGCATGAGAGTGGGGAAAGTTTTACACTGATGCAAAATCCAAAAATGATGGGCTGAAGCAGGAAACAAGACTACAATTGTATTTAGTTGCTATGGACACTGTTCTTCTGGTGTAGAAATGTATGTTTTAAAACATAAAATCTACCAAGCCAATAAAAAGGAACTTCTAACACATTAACTTCATGAAATAAGATTTCGTACGTACAATGTTTATTTCATCACTAACAAATTTACCTTCAATTTTGCACATATAAATATCTACCCTAGAACAGCTGTTGCTATAGTAACAAGATACATTTGCTCATATTCATATTTTCTGGCTCACTTTTTAGAATTCCTTAAAAATCATGATTTTAAAATGTTGTTTTCAAAAAAACCTACGCTTGTGCCTTACTTCAATGTAGTATTACAAAATACTGTAATTGTTAGTCCTTCTTCTCTTTATTTAAAATGATATACTTCCTAATTTCAGTAACCTCAAAATATATTAAACAGTCAACACTGGGAATAGTATTCTATGAGAATAAATGGAAAGAAATGCTTTCAAAATAATCAACTAAAAACATGAGAACCATGAGAGATAAATTATTATATTTAGTATTACCTTGTGTATTCTGAGACTTTGCATGGTTTCTTTCCCAAAGAAAAGGAACGGACCTCAGAACCATGGTCCAACTTTCTTTTCATCTATAAGGTAAAACAAGTAAGATAAGTTTTAAAGAACAAATCACCTGCCCAACTATCAAAGCTCGAATTATCACTATTCACATCAAAAAATTCTTCTATTTTTATGTCTACCATGTTAATCAGGTAGTTAATATAGAAAACAAATGTTTCACAGTTTTTTCTATTTGTTCCACTTTATTTTGCTCTTAACAGACTGTAAAGGTAAATTCTTCCCCTAGTATTTGTTCAAGAACAGTGTATGGTGATTTAAAAACTGATATTCATTGTATATATTTCTTGAAAGTAATATACCTCTCATGTTTTCCAGTTTAAAATCAACGTAAGAAAATAATTCTCATGTTAACCCATACTTAAAAAAACATATTTAACATGCCTAAGAAAAGGATAACAAAAAAACTGAAAATTTTAAAACCAGAAATAAGAACAAGTAGCTGAATTTTAAGCACCCATATCATTATAAAAGGGTAAAGAACAATATAAAACAATCTTGAATACTGATTGTAATGAAGCATAAAGCAATTAATATGTGCAATAAGAATAGATGAACAAAGTAAATCCATAACAGAGAAGTCTAGAGATACTTCAATAAAGAAAAGTCACCAATTGCTATACAGAGTATAGCTCATCTAAAACAAACTAACTTGAAACAACAAAAATTATCTTAAGAGAATGAATTGTGCCTCTTTATATGACCAACATTTGCATTTAATGTGTTTCATTATGCCATGTTATATTACCAATATACTCAGGATTGTATTTTGTCAATGGGAATATTGAGATATTTATTTTACATTTCACTAACAGTTAACTGAGGTCATCTGAATATACATTTAGTTTAAAACTAGAAAATAAGATCTGCAAAGATTCAACTTTTTCAACAGCCTCTGTCAGATTTACACCCACTAATTAAATACTGTATTATTGAAAATTATAGGAGAATAGACAACTATCTTCATTTTTATAGTAAGGTAAAAATCCTTATTTTGTAGCACCCTTATTTTCCAACTTATTGCCTTCACATGGGAGCGCTGTAATAGTATGATACAGTATAAACACTAAAGAGAACCAAAGACTCAAAAATTTTTTGAGATTAGACAATAAAGGCTTTTTATCACAAAAAAAAAGTCTTCTCATCAATATAGGATGATATTATCATGTTAGGGGCTAGATGTGAGGTACAACAAGCTTATCTACAACTAATACCTTAGTTCATGAATACCTGCTGAAAAAAAATGGAAATGGTCTGGTTTCTTCCCTTCGGAAGTTTCTGTACTCATTACATGGTTTTAAAGTGACTCCTCTCAAAAACCAATGTTTTCTTTCTCTAATTTTATTAAAAATCAAACATAAATAATATAAAAGCTGTAATATGTAAGCAGCCACGTGCTTCCATGTGTATAACTTACAGACTGATAATATATGTACACATACAAGCGAATCCATCAGGAAGGTAAATACAGATTTTTGATAACTTTCACAGGTTTTCATAATTATTATGAGAACTTTGATATTCATTCTAATTAAGTTTGTAGTGCTGGCTTTCAGAACTTCCCAGGATATCTTGTAAATACATTGGTGTTAATGCCATTTGCCACTAAAAGCAAACTTTATTTCCATCTTAGAAACCATTTAATGAATAAAAATGTTCAAAATATGTATCAAGGAGATTACTGAGAAAGGATTTTATTTTAAAATTATTTTATAAAATAAAGTACCTACTGAATGACTACGTAAGTCTTTTAAATATTACGTTTGCTGAAAATACTGACTTTATAACCAAAAATTAATTGTGGAATTTTTGAGGGGCACAGAAAGTAAACATGATCTCTTTAAATATACACCCCAAATAGTCCAGTAATTTTACATTGTAAGTCAACTGATGCAAAAAGAAAAAAGAATACATATGGTACAGAAAAACTGAAGGCAAGGGGTTCACTCAAAACCAACTAAGGATGGACTATTTCCAGGTCAGCATTTAACGGAGCCACATTTCTCAAGTCTGAGTGTATTTTCAGTGAAAAATTCTCCAATTAAAATATACATTGCATTTTAAATTTAAAGCTCCTCTCAGCTCACATTGTCTTTCCATTATTTGCTTACATTCATGAAATAAAACAGAATACCAGACATCCAGCCACCCACCAAAATTAGAGGATACTGCAGCCATCTCTGATGATACAGATTTTCCTTCCCAGGCAGGCACACGCGCACACACACACACAACCACACAGCACAGGAAGAAAACAGATTACTTACTTTGTAAAAAATCATTTTTAATGTGCCGTAGAAACCCATATTTTCTGTATTTTTCCCCTTCAGTGACTCTGTGCCCCCGTGTGTCCGGCTGCTTGGCAGTCTCTGACAATATAAACCTTTTTCAGGTAGGTATGTCACAGATTCTAATGTGGACATGCTCAGGCACGTCAGAAAAGGAAGATTAGGGAGCAGAACCGGCAACAAAACTCCACAGTAAAGGCAAATGCAGCTCAGTATCAAACCCGGTTGCTTCTCGGGACATACATACATACATGCAGCTTGACTGAGAACTCGAGGGAATAATGAGAGAGAACCAAGAAGATTATTGGAGGAGACTATGCCCTGTCAAAGCCTTGACTGAACAGATTCCTCCCTCAGCAGCAGAGGGATCAGATTACATCTTCCCTTGAACACAGAATGGTGCAGTCCAGGATTCAGCAATGCAGACTGCACATCAATTATATGGTGATCCGCTCCAGGGAACCCGTAAGCACACAACGCACTGAACAGAGGAAGGATGTGGGCAGCAGAGACCGCCCCCACCACAGCCCCTCTACCCTTTCAAACTTTCAGGAGATTATTTTCATATTTTGTGAAACCTACATTTTTGAAAAGTCTTAAATAGCTAGCAATATGCCCACAAATAAGTCCTTCCAGAAACATTTTGAAAATGAAATATATTTTTATACACACACCCCCTGCAGGCAGAGGCAAAGCAGGCTATTTTCATTAACCGTAGGATTATTTCATTAATTCTACTGTAGTCTTGGCATAGTTTGATCAGATTTTTCAAGTAGCTTGGATGGGGGGTAATCCCAAAGGGAGCAATTAAATACACTTTGGGGGAACTGAAAATAAAGTAAACCAGTTTGGAACATACAGAATTTGCAGAAATTATGTAATATATTTCAACTTGCATTTCTCTATATTAAGACTTCATGAAAATATTCCCTATGCTTTTCTACTTCATTCTTTTAAAATATAGTTTTCAAAAAAATTAGCACACACTTCATCAATTCTTAGTAATGAGAATTATCTTTTTAAGATAAACAAACTAGTTCTACCTATGTGGATTAAGTTAGTCTGAAAGGCTGTTTTCTCCAAAAGTAGCAAAAGCTGTGCTCAATGGAGGTCCTTAGCCTTATTTGTCAATCTTGAGGGAATAGGAGGCAATGGACTTAAACCCCAAAATTATTCTGACAGTGTGCATTGCTTATCATTAAAAAGGCATTTTGCGTGATAATAAAGGCACCAATTTTGCTTGAAGGCAACATTTCTCTTTCAATGACTGCTACACAAATCTAGATATTTCATCTTGTGACTTGCTACACAACTAGTTTCCAAGGCAATTATAAGATTCCTTGGACTAGAAAGACCCATTATTAAGGGACTAGTTAATTAATTCCTACCCTTCCCACTAACATTCTTTATTACAAGTAAACTAAGTGCCTATTAGGTTATTTAAAGGACTTAGAAAGTTTCCTCAGGAAAAAAAAATACTATTTAGACTCAATATATATTAATACCCTCTGCAGTAATGGTAAATAACTGTCTTCAGTAAAATGATTTCAAATACTACATAAAATAATACCAAGTTTTAAGACTAAGTATTTCCCACTATAAGATACTAAATGACTGTAGTGTGTTTTAATGTAAAATGCAAATGAAATAAGTTCATGGAAAATTCTGTGATGATATACATCTTAGATCCTCTGCTGGAAATTATATTCTACTATTATCTTTTAGAAAAAAAATCTTTCTGGTTTATAATTTTTTTTCCTCAGAGTTAATATGTACATATATACACAGCAAAAATTAGTTTTCAAAATAATCAATTAGCTCACTTCAAAGAGAATTTAAGTTGAATCTCTTAGCAAAAAATAAAACCCCAAAACAATCTAAGTGTTAGGAATAGACCCATAAACCAGTAATACTAAAGGTTTCAGAAAACTCATAATTTAGGAAAGAACAAAATAATTATTTTCCTCCCAGTTCTGGGCGATCTGAAGAAAACAACTGTGAAATGAATAGCTGAAACTTCCTGTGGAATTTGTCACTGGTTACTCAGAGGACACTGTCTCAAAACCTAGGATATTTAAAGAAGAAGATATCTTGATTTTGGATAATCAAAGGAAAGCTCTCATAGTTATATGGCTTCTACTAAGTGCTATAAAGTTATAGGAAAATGTGACTATAAAATAAAATATGATTATAATGACTATTTAGGAGGTATTTAAAAACTTCTAATACCTCTTTTATAATGCTAAATTTAACTATGAAGAATTTGCCAAGCAAAGCTAGTTAACCAAGTTCCTAACTGGATTTCAAAGTAATAGAGAAAAAAAGTTATTTTCAATATTCTCTTTAGTACTCATCAATGAAATTGTGAACTATTTTATTACTATCACCAGAATTTATTCATGAACAATACAAGTAAAATTCTCACATTTCTATTTCTGGCAGTCTTGCCTAAAATACAAATACATGAAACATTAATCACAGTTTTAAGTGATATATTAAAAAGGCCTGTGTATCTGTATCTTTATGGCTTACACCTGTAATAGACAAAAACATTCTATATCTTAGATCAGTCTATAATCTACGTTAATAAGCTTATTTTTTGAAAAAGTATTTATGCCTTATACTACAACTTTAAGTAGCAAGTTCACTGAAAAGATTAGCTAGTGAACTACTATATCCAAGTCATCCAAAATTTTAGAAAATCTCAATGTATTTTCATAATA